GAGCCCCGTGTAGTCCCTCTGTGGCCCCTCTGTAGTTCCCATGTAGCCCCCTGTAGTTCCCATGTAGCCCCGTGTAGTTCCTGTGTAGCCCCGTGTAGTTCCTGTGTAGCCCCGTGTAGTTCCTGTGTAATCCCACTGTAGTCCCTCTGTGGCCCCTCTGTAGTTCCCATGTAGCCCCCTGTAGTTCCCACGTAGCCCCGTGTAGTTCCTGTGTAGCCCCGTGTAGTTCCTGTGTAGCCCCGTGTAGTTCCTGTGTAGCCCCGTGTAGTTCCTGTGTAATCCCGTGTAACTCCTGTGTAATCCCACTGTAGTCCCTCTGTGGCCCCTCTGTAGTTCCCATGTAGCCCCCTGTAGTTCCCATGTAGCCCCATGTAGTTCCTGTGTAGCCCCGTGTAGTCCCTCTGTGGCCCCTCTGTAGTTCCCATGTAGCCCCCTGTAGTTCCTGTGTAGCCCCATGTAGTTCCTGTGTAGCCCCGTGTAGTTCCTGTGTAGCCCCGTGTAGCCCTCTGTAGCCCCACTGTAGTCCCTCTGTGGCCCCTCTGTAGTTCCCATGTAACCCCGTGTAGTTCCCATGTAGCCCCGTGTAGTTCCTGTGTAACCCCATGTAGCTCCTGTATAGCCCCACTGTAGTCCCTCTGTGTAGCCCTGCTGTAGTTCCCATGTTGCCCCGTGTAGTTCCTGTGTAGCCCTGTGTAGTTCCTGTGTAACCCCGTGTAACTCCTGTGTAATCCCACTGTAGTCCCTCTGTGGCCCCTCTGTAGTTCCCATGTAGCCCCGTGTAGTTCCCATGTAGCCCCATGTAGCTCCTGTGTAACCCCATGTAGCTCCTGTATAGCCCCACTGTAGTCCCTCTGTGGCCCCTCTGTAGTTCCCATGTAGCCCCGTGTAGTTCCCATGTAGCCCCATGTAGTTCCTGTGTAACCCCATGTAGCTCCTGTATAGCCCCACTGTAGTCCCTCTGTGTAGCCCTGCTGTAGTTCCCATGTTGCCCCGTGTAGTTCCTGTGTAGCCCTGTGTAGTTCTCATGTAGCCCCGTGTAGTTCCTGTGTAGCCCTGTGTAGCCCCGTGTTGCCCTGTGTAGTTCCCATGTAGCCCCGTGTAGTTCCTGTGTAACCCCATGTAGCTCCTGTGTAACCCCACTGTAGTCCCTCTGTGGCCCCTCTGGAGTTCCCATGTTGCCTCGTGTAGTTCCCGTGTAGCCCCATGTAGTTCCCGTGTAGCCCTGTGTAGTTCCTGTATAACTAGTCTGTTTCTTCCCTTTGACCCTTGTTTCCTTTTGTCCTGTATATTTACTTTATTTACCAGTTGTGTTTGTTTTTACTTTTGTTTTTTATTCATCATGTAGGTGTTTTTACTCATCATATTGGTGTATATTTGTTATCACCACAAAGTAGCTACTTGCTGTGTCGGTTTTTTTCTTCCTTTTTTGTGGTAAAACATACATAACACGAAATTGACCATTTTAACCGTTTTTAAGTGTGCAGTTCAGTGGCATTAGCACACTCACTATATCATATATCCATCACCACCACCTCTTTCCAGAACTCGGTATCATCCCAAACAAAGACACCGTACCAGCCGGGCGCGGTGGCTCACGCCTGGAATCCCAGCACTTTGGGAGGCCGAGACGGGCGGATCACGAGGTCAGGAGATCGAGACCATCCTGGCTAACACGGTGAAACCCCGTCTCTATTAAAAATTAAAAAAAAAAAAAATTAGCCGGGCGTGGTGGCGGGCGCCTGTAGTCCCAGCTACTTGGGAGGCTGAGGCAGGAGAATGGCGTGAACCCGGGAGGCGGAGCTTGCCGTGAGCCGCGATCACGCCACTGCACTCCAGCCTGGGCGACAGAGCAAGACTCCATCTCAAAACAACAACAGCAACGACGACTCTGAGCCAATAGTTATCTCCCCTCCCCTCCCTCTAGCCCTGGTGGCCACTGTTCCACTTTCTGCCTCTATGAATTGACCTGTCCTAGGTACCTCGTAGACGTGGAATCATATAGTATCCGCCCATTTGCGTCTGGCGTCTTCCACTCGGCATGTCGTGAGGGTCTATCTGTGCCATAGCCTGTGTCTGAACGTCCTTCCTTTCTGAGGCTGGATGACGTTCCGTTGCGGGATGGACATGTTTTGTTTCCATTCGTCTGTGGATGGGCCCCAGGTTGCTTCCCTCTTCTGGTTATTCTGAATGTGGCTGCTACGAACACGGATGGATAAGGATGTACTTGAGCTCCTGCTTTCAGTTTTTTGCATTTACAGCTAAAAGTGAAACTGCTGAATCCTGTTCGGACTCTGTGTTTAACGTCTTGAGGAACCGTCACACTTTTCCACAGCGGCCGCACTGTTTACCTTCCCACCAGTGACGCATGAGGGTTCAGTTTATCCACATCCCACCAACATTATTTCCCCTTTTTTTTTTTTTTGTAAAAGCCATCCTAATGGGTGTGATGTCTCACTGTGGTTTTTATTTGCGTTTCGCTAATGACGAATGATGCTGAGCATCTTTTCACGCGCTTATTGGCCACGCGTATATCTTTGAAGAAGTGTCTATTCAAGTACTCTGTCGACTTTTTTTTTTCTTTTTGAGATAAGGTCTCACTTTGTTACCCAGGCTGGAGTGCAATGGCACGATCACAGCTCACAGCAGCCTCAGCCTCCCAGGCTCAGGCCATCCTCCTGCCTAGGCCTCCCAAAGTGTTGGGATTACAGGCGTGAGCCACCGCGCCCCACCCTTCCGTTTTTAAACTGGATTATTTACTTTTCTGTTGTTGAATTATGGGGTTCCTCCTATACTCTGGATATCAACCCCTGGCCAGATACGTGATTTGCAAATACCAACGTCTCCACCCTGTGGTGTTTTACTCCTCCAGAGTGTCCTAGGCGCACATTTCACTATAATGAGGGTCCAGTCACTCCAGTGTTTCTTTTGCTGCCTTTGCTACGGTGTCATATCGAAGAAATCCTGGCCAAATACAGTGCCAGAAAGTGGTCCCTGTGTCTTCTTCTAAGAATCTTTTTTTTTTTTTTTTTTTTTTTTTTTTGAGATAGGGTTTCTTTGTAGCCCAGGCTGGAGTGCGGTGGCGTGAACACAGCCCACTGCAGCCTTGACCTCCCGGCTCAGGTGATCATCGCATGTTGACCTCCTAAGAAGCTGGGACTACAGGCACACCTGCCTAGTTTTTTTATTTTTTGTAGAGATGGGGTTTCGCTATGTTGCCCAGGCTGGTCTAGAACTCCTGGACTCAAGCGATCTGCCCATCGCAGCCTCCCAAAGTGCTGGGATTACAGGCACGAGCCACCTTGCCCAGCCTCTTGTAAGAGTTTTATAGTATTAGCTCTGATGTTTTTGAGTTGGTCTTGCACTCTTAAAGATAACTAATGATTTGGCTGGGCATGGTGGTTCACACCTGTAATCCCAGCACTTTAGCAGGCCAAGGCAGACGGATCACCTGAGGTCAGGAGTTTGAGACCAGCCTGGCCACCATGGCGAAACCCCATCTCTACTAAAAATACAAAAATTAGCTGGGTGTGGTGGTGGGTGCCTGTAATCCCAGCTACTTGGGAGGCTGAGGCACGAGAATCGCTTGAACCTGGGAGGAGGATGTTGCAATGAGCCGAGATTGTGCACTCCAGCCTGGGCGACAGAGTGAGATTCCATCTCAAAAAAAAAACCAAAAAACAAATTAATGATTTTAAGGAACCATTCTGAACGCATAGAAAGGTGTCTGTGTCCTCCGCCGCACCTCTGTTCCCTCACTGGCACGTTGCCTCCCTGTGGTGCGGGAGCCCCGCTGGCTCCTGAGTCCTCGGATGTGACACTTGGCTCTTGGATCACTATTGCCTTCTGCAGGGTCTAGAGGCTCCGGCCTCATTGTCTGCATTTCTGCCTTAGATGTGGAATCAGTCATTTCTCCAAAAAGCTCGGGCTCCTTTTAGTGTAAAATGTAGAAACCAGTGTTGGGTACAGGCACTCCCGGTGACAGGATTGGGTCTTGTCTCTAGACCTTTGCAGTGGACTGTGCGGAAATACACTTTAAAATATATATATAACATACATCAGAAATTCTTACTGAAGCTTTCTATTCAGAGCTGGAGTTTTCTTGTAAGCTTAATATCCTTACTTTTAATTTTTATCTCCTTTGTCGGCTGAAAACTCTCATACTCACAAAATCAGCAAAATAGTCCGTCTGTTTTATGCCACAGTTCATACACAGCTTTGGAAGAGCCACGTCGACACCGACAGTCACCCATAGTATCGTCACTGCAGGGTTTTCTTCATTTTTATTTTTATTTTTTTGTTTAAGACGGAGTCTCGCTCTGTCGCCCAGGCTGGAGTGCAGTGGCACGATGTCGGCTCACTGCAAGCTCCGCCTCCCGGGTTCACGCCTTTCTCCTGCCTCAGCCTCCCGAGTAGCTGGGACTACAGGCAACCGCCACCACACCCGGCTAATTTTTTTGTATTTTTAGTAGAGACGAGGTTTCACCGTGTTAACCAGGATGGTCTCGATCTCCTGACCTCGTGATCTGCCCACCTCGGCCTCCCAAAGTGCTGGGATTACAGGCTTGAGCCACCGCGCCCAGCCGGTTTTCTTCATTTTTGATGTGTAGTTGGCTCCCTAGGAGCTAGGGGCAAGTTACAGTGTTTTCAAATCTCCAGAGTCTCTTGGAATACCTCTGTGTGTGTTTTATTTATTTCATTTTCTTCTGCTTTTGAGGGATGGCTTTTTAAATTCAATTTTGTTTGTAATTATGAAAAACAAATGTTTGCATGGTGCCAGGATTAAATCTGTACAATGAGGCGACACCCAGGACCTGGGCTGCAGGTGTCTGAGGGCCAGCAGGGCTCCTCACCACCCAGACCCCAGGCAGAGGCCACCCTGGAGGACAAAGGGGGCCTGGTGCACGGCCAGGATCTGGGGAGCTAGGGGGCGGCGAGCAGAGGCGGCCCAGTCCAGGAGCACGGAGCTGCCCCCTCACCCACTGGCCGCCCCTCCCACACAGGTCGCCAGGCAGGAGGGGAGGATCATCCTGACATCGGGGCAGCCATTCCACAAGGTGAGTGTCCCACAGATGAGCTCAGTGGGCCTGAGCCCCATCTTCCCAAGCCCCTAGCCCCTCGGCCACCCCCACCTCAGGATCAGCTTGCCATGGGGCCGGCCCCCAGTGCCTCTGCCATACCCCTGGTGGGCCAAGAGAAGGCTCCTGCCTCATCCTGGTGGAGATGGGCTGGGCCTGGGCAGGTGCTGGGCTCTGCACTGCCCTTCAGTAGCCGAACCGTGTCTTTGCAGCTCCGGGCCCAGGTCGGGGCTGGGCGCTGCCTCTCGGTCGACTGCTCCCTGAAGGCCCAGCAGCAGGCTAAGGCTGTGCTCAAGCATTTCAACGTGCGCGTCACCTACGCAGACATCTTCAGCCGCTGCCAGGTGGGTCCTACGCGCCCCGTCCTACCTCGGGCTGGCACAAGATCCAGAGCTACGGGGGTGTCCAGGGAGGTGGGCCCCCCAGACAGTGGCGGACGGCAGAAGCACCTGCCACACCCTCTGCTCTGCTCATGGGAGCCAGGACCACGAGTAACCCTGTTGCTCCCACCTCCACCCAGACACCCACATGCCTTGGGGGGCTGCTGCAGTCTGGGGTGAGGCGCCGGCGGAGCGTCCCTGCTGGGTCCGGGGTGAGGCGCCGGCGGAGAGTCCCTAGTGCAGGCCGGCATGGCCACGGGGACAGCTCCAATCAGGCACTGGTTGGGATTTGGGGAATTCCCTCCAGCTCCCATGGGGTTTCTGAAAGGAATCGAGAGAAATTGTGGAAGCCTCTTCGGGCTGGGCGGGTCCCACTTTCCAAAGGCAACACACAGCACAGCCTGCGTCTGCTTGGTGACGTCCAGCAAGGTCTGGGCAACAGAACCCCTGAGTGGGAACTGCCGCACCTCGGTGGAGAGCCATGGGAGGCCGGTGGGGGCACCAAAGCCCAGCTCACCTCTCTCCCTCCTCTCCTGTCCCCAGTGGGGGACTGAGCTAAGCCACCTGCCCAGGGCTGCACTGTCCAAGCCTGCCGTGCCCCACACCGACTGGCTTGAGCCCACTGGGTACCTGGGCATGGCCAGGCTGAGGGGGAGCTGATGCCGCCTTTTGCCCGTCCATGCCAGGTGCCGGGGGTCTCCGTGGGCAACACGGGAGCAGGGGGACTGTGGGCTGTGCTGGCTCTCGGCAGCTCCTGGTGGAGGGTACGGGCTGCTTCCAGAACGTTCCAGAGTTAGGGCCACATCAATATTCCGCCCAGAGCAGCAGGTCGGGGCTGCTCCACCACGCTCAGTTTTGTTTCCTGGGGTTTTTTGGGGGTGACGGAGTCTCACTCCATCACCTAGGCTGCAGTGTAGTGGTGCAGTCTCAGCTCACTGCAGCCTCTGTCTGCCAGGTTCAAGCGATTCTCCCACCTCAGGCTCCTGAGTAGCTGGGATTACAGGCGCCCACCACCATGGGTGGCTAATTTTTGTATTTTTGTAGAGATGGGGTTTCACCATGTTGGTCAGGCTGGTCTTGAACTCCTGACCTCAGGTGATCCTCCTGCCTCAGCCTCTCAAAGTGCTGGGATTACAGGCCTGAGTAATCCCAGCCTCCCAAGCCCAATTTTGGGGGGAGGTTTTGGGACTCCCTCATGGAGGGAGATCCCCTCATGGAGGCCACTGCCAGGGTCCCTGCTGGCGCCTGGGCTGGGCAGGGAGGGGCCCTGAGCTCAGCTCCACCCATGGTCCTCAGGGGCACCCACCTGGCTGAGCAGGGACAGATGCAGGCCTGGGCCTTCTGCTACCGCCCTTCTGCCCCCACAGCTTCAGGCTGGGCCAGCGGGGACTGATGCAGGAAGGAAAGAGGGAAAGCTCTGGCTCGGATCTGCAGCCGGCCAGTCACCTGAACACACAGGCCCCTGGACCTCCCACTGCCCCTGGCCTGGGGTGCAGTCTGACCCTCTGACCCCACGGCTCTGCCTCAGGTGGCAAGGAAGTGTGCTCCAGGGGCCTCTCCTTCAGCCTTGGGCTCCAGGGGCAGCAGGAACCGCGTCCGCTGCCTCTCTTTGTCTGTGCTCAGGCCGGCAAGCGCTGTAAAGACCCCAGGATGTCCGGGACGCCTGGGGAGGCATGTTAATGAGCTGTTCAGAATCGGCTGCTGCATTTTCTTGAGAAAACAGGAAGTTGGGTCGCTGGGAGGAAACCCTTGCTGGAGCCCTGGGCAGCCGGGTGCTGGGGAGCGCCCCTGAGGACCCAGGCCAGGCGCAGAGGGGCCGCCAAGCCCTGCATGGAGAAGGGCGTCCAGGGTGTGAGGCAGAAGGGCGGACTTTGGCCTGGCGGAGCGGATGGGATGGGGGGGCTACAGAGACTGAGCAGGTGGGGGCCGCCCTGTCCCATGTCCGTCCTGCCTCTTTGCTGGCTACTGGCAGCTCCAGGCTGCTGATGCCACTCTGCCACTCACACCCTGCAGCCTCCAGGGTGCCCCTGCTGTGGCAAGCAGGAGCGCCAGGCCCAGGGGGACTGCAGGCAGAGCAGGCCTGGGAGGGGCTAAGGCCAGAGCTGCACTTCCGTTGGGGGCCAGCAAGCGTCCAGGCCAGAGAGGGCAGCGCCAGCCGCCCAGGACCAAGGCATTGAGGGAGGGAGCATCTGGGTCTCAGAGACTTCAAACAGCCGGCGGGGAGTTCCGCCTGGAGGGTACCCTAAGCCCTGGCTGCAGCCCCAGGCAGCGACCTGCCACCTGTGGCAACCCCTCTGTGTGGGGGCAGGATGTGGGAAAGGGGCGGATGAGCTGCCTTGGCCCCACGGACTGCACGGCCAGGGGCCCTGCGGATACATGCGTCTCTGTGTGTGCATATCCCACGGATGCTGGGTGGTGCCCTGTGAGGAGAGAACCATGCGTTCCCCCTGCCCGCCCCAGCCTGGGAGCAGAGCATATGCTGGCAGCCACACCAGAGCCCGAACCCCCGGTGCAGGGCTGGCAGGGGAAAGGGTGCTGGTCCGTGCAGAGCCCCATGTGTATGGGCCACATGTCGCGTCAGGTGGGAGCCCAGGTGGGAGGGAGGCACGTCAGGGCTGGGGACCCTGCTGGGCCCTAGCAGGGAGCCCTTGGGCAGGTGACAGAGAGCTGTTGGCAGAGGGGCCCCCTGTGCACAAGGGTCCCGCAGGGCCAGAGTGATGGGGCCAGGAGGGCAAGAAAGGGGTCTCTGAGAAGCTGAGATATCTACATTTGAACCTGGCCTTCCAGGTCACCAGGTAGGGTGGGAGAATGGAGTTTGCTTTGCACAAGTGCCTCAGCCGGCTGGTGGCCCAATGCCTGCAGCCCGGGCTCCCACGTGCACACCTGCCTCCTTGGCTCTGGAGTCCTGAGAGGAGCTCAGAGCCTGGAGGGCCAGGGCCCCAGGCCACATGTCCATGATGACCATGTGCTCTAGAAAGTTCTTCCTAGGGCTGGGCAGGCTCAGGCCACGTTCCCACCACCCACTCCAACAGCACTGCAGCCTCAGTGCTCCCAGCTGAACCCTGGGAGCTTGGCCTGAGTGGGCAGCTGGGAACACCACTGGTCGGCCACCCCACACACTGGCTGCCCCATCCCCACCCCAGAGGCGAAGGGAGGCCCATCCTCAGGGCCAAAGAGGTAGGCACGGGCAAAACAATGGAGGCCAGGCCCAGGGACCACGCAGGCCCAGCTCCATGCAACTGCAGACCCCGGCCCTGCCCCCGAGGCCACCGTGCAGGGCTGGGCTGGCTATGACCCATCCAGACACCAGAGGGCTGCTGGCCATCACCAGCCAGCAGAGAGCGGCACGCTCAGGCTGACGCAGCAGCAGAGATCGGCGAGATTGGCCTTTCGCCCTGGAGCTGCCCACGGGGCCTGGCTCTGGCCTCGGTCACAGGATCTGAGGCTCACAGCCTCCGATGTCCCCCAGCTCCGGCCAGAACTGGCCACCTCCCTGGAGAGCGCCTGCCGCCGGGCTGACTTTCCATTTTCTTCTTCCTTCTGCTATTTTGGTGCCGTTCCCGGAGGGAAGGCCCACTCAACATGCAGGGTTCCCAGAGCGAGGCTGGGGTGCTGTCTGGGTGGCGCGGTGGGCACACAGCAGGGAGTGAGCAACGGCATGCGTGATTGAGCCCAAAGCTGGGCCAGGGCCTGGTCAGGGGTCTGTGGCCACCGCCGGCCCCACCACTCAGCAGGGACCCCGAGTGGTGGGACTCCTGGGTGCTGGGGTTGCTGGTGCCGGCTTTCTGGTAGCATCTGCCCACGCGTGCCCTTGAGTCAGGCAGGGAGGGGCTCCCCTCGAGCGAGGATGGCCCACCGGCCCACCCACAGGAGCCACAGGGGCCGTAGGTCTCAAGTAGAGGGCGGGGCCGTGCCCTCTGGGGCAGGGTGGGGATGGGGAACATTCCCAGTGCCGTCTACCATGGGAAAATATTTTATCAAAGAAGCTAGAGCTTTAAAAAAAAACCCTCACCATGAACCCCTGACATGGCCAGGCATACCATCTATTTTTACTGTCCCCAGTCCCCACCCCCCTAGCATGGTTGGGGAGCGGGCTGCAGCCCCCACAGGGACACGTCCTGAAACAGTGGCGTCAGCCCCTCAGAAGCGGGCATCCCAGGAGGCTGTGGTGACCCCTGCCTCCAAGGGCTCCCGGGCAGAGCTGGCCATTGTTGGGGGGGTGAGGGGGGTGCGGCAGCCGGGTCCCAGCTCATGGGCGCCTGGGAAGCCCTGCAGTGCTGGGCAGGGACCCTGGGGAGGGTGGTCCAAGAGGGGGTTCTCGCGGAGGGGACGGAGTGGGCCGCAGGGCGGCTGCCCCCAGCATTCACACTCAGCACCTGGAGCCTGCCCTGACGGGCTTCAGAGCCCAGACCCAAGATCCAGCCTGGGGGCCCCAATGCTGCCCACTCCTGCCATGGGCCTGGAGACCCTCACATTCTCTGTGCTCAGCTGATGGACAGAGGGACAGACAGGAAGAGGTGCAGCAGACCCCACCCCTCCCAGGCTCCGTCCGCCTCAGCCTAGACCCCATTCCCACGCTCGGCACCCCCATGTCACACAGGCACGCAGGGTACAGAAGGACCTCCTCCCTGCTCACAAGGTGGCGGGAGGGGCCCAGCCCCAGAGCTCTGGAGGAAGACGGGCCCTCCAGCCAGGGCGCGGAACTGCAGGGCAAGTTTCAGTAGCTGGTGGGCCTAGCACGACCCCCAGGCTGGGGACAAACAGAGGATGACGGCACCTGAGGGGACTTAGTGCAGCCCCCAGGGCTGACAGGAGGGTGGTCAGCCAGGAGCCCAGCCGGTTCCCCCAGGAGGCCACCCACACCACCTCCCCACAGCCTTGTGGGCTGGGGACCCTCCAGAAGGCCCCAATGCCCCCTCGTCCCTCCCTTTCTTAGCAGCCTTCCAGAAAAGCCGTGGGTCTCA